GAACTTAGATGAGTGTGGACTGTGGCCTTGGCGATTTGTTCTGATCGCTAGGAGACCACTGAGACTGCCTTCTTTGGACAGACCAACTATGGGGGCTATGAATGCCTAAGACACATGGTATAAATCAACTTCTGCACAATGGGAGTGACCTCAAAGTGTGGCTTCTCCCTCCAACTCCAGAACTACAGCATCAGTGTAACTATTCACACTTGACTGATAGATCCATGAGAAGAATAATCATGCTTCCCCTTCAAATTCTAATGAATTGCCATAGAGTAATGGTGGGCCCTGGACAAAAAAAAAACTGTTTTTACTCATTACTGCGAGTGTTTATATTACCACTAGTCCCATATCCTTACACAGCATTCTGAATTCTACTTACTGAAGCAATTCTTTCCAAAACCCAGCAAGGGTTCTCCCCTGAGCAGTCTATCTACCATTGATATTTATTTATATACTAATCTGTCAACTAGAACATCTAGCCATTACCAGAGTCTTCTATTCCACTTAAAAGAAAGGATAACTTTCAAAGATAACATGCATTTAGCTATATCTGTATGGATCTTCTCACAATTTCCTTTCATAAACTTCCTAAGGCCCAGGAGGCAGTTTTCTCTTCTGGACCATGCCCACTCAATCACTGGACACTGTTTTCAAGAAAGCTCTTGCACAGTGAGATGATAGTATCATGCAGTGATTACAGTAGAGCTGGTTCATTAACTGTGATGGTATAATTGACCAGATTAACTCAGTTCTTAGCTTTCCTTCTACAGTGTTCATCTGAATTAAAAAGGAAATGTATGAAAGGACCCATGGGCAAAGCCAAAGGGAGGTAGGCTTGAAGGTGGGACATAGGGGTGAGTGGGGGGGGGGGTGGCAGGAAAATGGAGACAACTGTACTTGAACATCAATAAAAAGAAAATTTTTTAAAAAGAAGAAATATATGAAGGAAGACAATGTAGATAAAAGTATTTAGGGAGGGCAGGATTCTTCCCAAAAGCCAAAAAATATCTGGAGGTTTTCAATGGGTGTATGAGAAGTAAACCATCATGGAAATCTTGACTCAGAACTAAAATATTATTTTGAAAATGGACCTTGACAGTGCTTGTTGTAGATTCTTCCACCCCCACATGACTCATTGCCTTAAGGGCATTTGGGAATGGAAATGGCCATTAGCTCTTCATCTTTTACCACCAATAGAACAATTATTTCATACATCATTGAGCAGCTCCCACTTATGTGACCTATATTAAGTCTTCCAAATCTTCATAATTACATAGTACTCAGTATTATCATACAAGGTTGGGGTAGAACTTTGAAGCCACACTTTACATTTTGTTTACCACTTAATTCTATAACTTCAGGCAAATTGTATAACCTTTCTCTGCCTAGGTTTTCTTTTCTTTAAAAGCTGATTATAGAGGGGTTTTTTTTTTTGGATTAATTGACTGATGCATGTAAAACAGACCTTGACATATAACAGTTATTTAGCATATATTTTCTGTTATTAATATTTTTTCTGAGAGATGTCCTGCTTCTCTCCCATCAAATATCAGTCCTAAAGAAAGACCTTACTGATTATGTCAGAGTTTACATAGGCCATCAAGCCCTAACTTTCTTATATTCTCATCCTTCCTCTTTTCTTGCTAAGTTAGCCTCTACCATCCTTCCTTTTTATCTCCCATTTTTAGAATTATTCTTCCACCAAAGATGATCAACCCAGCTGTGTACCAGACACAGTCTCTTCCAGAGCCTTGTTAATTAATTATCCCCTCTCCCAAATATTTTCAACATATTTTCTTCAATAGTACTTTAATTTTGGCCCATATATATGTGCAAGTGTCTTACTTTTAAAAAATTCCATGGTTTGGCTACTTTGGAAGATAATCTAGCAATTGCACTCCTAGGTATTTAACCAAATAAGTGGAAAATTTTTGCATACATAAAAACCTACACATGAAATGTTTGTAACATATTTATTCAAAATTGTGAAAAAATCAGAGGCAAATAAGATGTCCTTTAATGAATGAATGAATAAACAAACTCTGGTACATCCATATACTTGAATATTACTCAGCAACAAAATTGTGGCTTAAATATTACTCAAGCCACAAAAACACATAGAGGAAACGTAAATGCATATTGCTAAATGAAAGAAGCCGATCTGAAAAGGCTACACACTATTTGATTCCAAATCTGACATTTTGGAAAAGGTAAAACTATTGAGGTAGTAAAAAGATTAGCAGTTGCCAAGGATTAAGGAGGGATAAATAGGTGGAGCACCGAGAATTTTTAGGACATAAAACTGTTCTGTATGATGGTAATGGCTCATCAATAATAACAAATGGACCACACAAATTCAAATTGTTAATAACAGAATAAACTGTGGGCTGGAATCAAAAGAGTATACAAGAACTCTCTATACTTTTTGTTTAATTTTTCTATAAACCTAAAACTGCTCTATGAAATAAAGTCAATTAATGATTTTCAAAACTTCAAGAAGTTTTATATAAAGTGTTTCACAGCCTTATTTAAATTAGTATTTGATTGAATAACTGAGAGAAGGTATATATGTACACCAGGAGGCAGGAATCTTAGGGACCATCTCAAAATTCTGTCTACCCCACAATCATACCTATACTGTCACCTCTCAACAGGATCCTTTGTGGCAGTAGACTAAAGTTGATGTCCCTGATACTTCCAATGGGCTCTTTCTTTTCTCTTTCCATGTATTTATTGGACTACTTTATCTACTTCCATGGTTTCAACTACTTTTTATACAGTGTTAATCAATCTATCATAATTAGTTGACTCTCTGAACTTCATACCCATATTTTTAGCTTCCTCTTCATGATATCCATTGGAATGTCCAATAGAGATTCAAGGAAAACTCATTAACACTCCTTTATAAACACACAAAACAAGAACATAATTATTCCTGTCAACTTTTTCTTTCTATGGATGAGATCATCATTTTACTCAGTTGCTCAAAACAGAAAACTTAGAACTTTGCTTGATATTTATTGAAGACTTAGTATAGATCAGGGACTCTCTTAAAATATTTATAAGTATTAACATTTAATCCTCACAACATATCTATGGGAAAGGTCCTATTATTTGGAATCTTCAGCAAAGGACCTTTCCCATACTGTATCTAGTAGGAAGTAAGACTAAACCAAAAACTGTGTGGCTCAAGATCTAAGTTCATAAGCAGTGTGCCATCTATTTTTCCTTCCCCATGCCCACATGGTTATAAAGTTGTATTAATTCTATTTCAGCAATATCATCAAAACTCATCTGCTTATCTCTAATTATGCTGTCATGGCCTTGGTTCAGGATCTCATGGAATATTTTTCTAATCTCCAGACTGGTGGTCCCATCTACCAGCTCTTGCCTATATCAAACAACCTCTACATTCTTGTCATATCAGTCACACATAAGTGGAAATAAAGATTTTACTTCCCTGCTTAAAGTCTTCCTGCCCAAACTTCATAGCCTGACATACAAAGACTTCCATTAGATTCCGCTTATATTTTCTGCCTTGTCCCTTTGCTCATACATCAGTCCATATCATATGACCCATGGTACCTTTTTCTTTGCATGTCTGTCTTCCCTTCAATATTGTGAGTTTCTTATGAGCAGCAATATATCCAGATTAGTACTTGGCATATAAACTGAACTCATTAAATATGCATTGAATAAACTATATTGAAAATTTCTCTTTTTTTTCAAGATTCATATTAAAAGGTGACTTCAAGGAATTAAGTGAAGATTTTATTTCTGTGACTGACAATACCAATGTATACCATATAGTTCTTTCTGTATGGAATAGACCCACATGTAGTTAATTATACAGGAAATATTTCTATCTGTTGAGATCAGGACCTAGGGTCTGATTCTCTATTTCTTGGGTTACAGCAATATCGTTGTTCAAAAAGGTATATGACTATGTTTATTTGTTTGCAGATACTTGGATTCACAGCAAGGATTTTCTACTCAGACTGCTTCACTTTATCCCATGCCTACTTGTTTAACTGCTAGATAAAGAAACAGTGATCCACTTATAAACTATATTGGCCTTTGACTGTGACAACTGAAGGGAAATGGCAGGTATCAATGGATGAACAGGATCGCCCAAGTGCAGTAATGGGCTAGAATAAACTGCACTTCCTAATGGCATGATTCAAATATTCTTTCTCAAGTTGTAATTAACTGATAACCCACAACTGGTTAGTTTGCGGACGTTCCTGCTTTGATAAAATAAACAAGGTTAATTTCTTGTGGTTGCCATTTTAAAATTAATTCTCACATCGGGAAATTTTCAAGCTTCTCGGTCTTGCCAAGCTTGCTCCCTCCTGATTTGCACCTCTAGTAATTTTCAAGTCCTCCTCCCGCTAAGCCCCGAGGGTGGACTCCTGACCTCCTTGCTGGAGCTGCGAACGAGATGCCAGGCTTAGTGACTGCTCTGCGGTTCCCCAAAGCTCCTCCTCCCCAGACCTTGCTGAGGTTAAAGAACAGGACAGGGGACACTCCTGGGGTGCACCTCCAAGAGAAGGACGCCAGTCCTGGGGGCTGAAGAGGCTGCGCAGGGGCCCCGTGTGCGATGCGGAGCGTGGACCCTTTGGGCCACCCCACCGCTGCTCGGCCTGCCCCCTGCCCGCGTCTCCCGCCTGGCCAGTGGGCGCGGGCCGCTGTCCACAGTGGGAGGTGCTGAAAGCAAGGAGCGGGCGCGGGGGCGGCGAGGCGGGCAGCTGCTCCGAGCGCCCCCCTCCTGGCTCCGCGGCTCCGCCGGCCCTCCCCTCCTCCCGCAGCCATGTTCCCCGCGAGGGGAGGGGTGGGGGAAGGGGAGAGGGACGCGGGATCAGGGCGGAGAGAGCCGGCGCTGCCTCGGGGAAGGAGGGGATGAGAGTTGGGGAGAGCCACGGGAGGAGGAGGAGGCGGCGGCGGCTACTGAGGAGCCAGCGCTGGGTCCTGCAGTCGGGCTCCCGGGAGCCACCATCATGGTGAAGAGGAAGAGCTCCGAGGGCCAAGAGCAGGACAGCGGCCGCGGCATCCCCTTGCCCATCCAGACCTTCCTGTGGCGGCAGACCAGGTGAGGGGCGCAAAGGGCGCGCCGCTCGGGCCAGCCCGGGCTGGGGGCGCTCCGGGGGCCGCCCGGGTCCTCGCCGCCGCCGCCGCCGACGCCGCCGCCGCTGCCGCCGAGGCCGCGCCACAGCCTGCAGCTCCCGCTCTGGGGCTGGAAAGCAAGCCCTCTGCATTCGCTTAAAAACACGCATTTAAAAATATTTCAGTGAAGTTTGACTACCGGCAGGTTGGCAGTTGCTGAATAAATACAGACGTTATTTAGGGGTTGGGGGGCAGAGAGCCTAGGAAGCGGGGGCAGGGAACTAGGGAAGATAATTATGACTGGTTGTGCTCCTGCGTCCAATTTCCCCTCCATCTCCTGCTGTAATTCCAGCCCGGTGACCTGTTGTTTTTCTAGCTCCTGTTAGGCAAATATCTGCTATGCCCACTTGTTAACCATTCTTGCCCAGATTCGGAGAGCGTAATGTTCCTGGTTAGAGCCTCAGAGTCAAATGATTTTTGATAAGGCTTTTTATTACCCCCCCCCCGAAAGGCCTGAAACCTATTCCAATAAACAGGAAACAAGTTTTCCTTTATTATTATTACTACTACTATTATTTTTATTATTATTTTAGACATTTATCATATACGAAATTAGATTCTGGAAATCATGACCTGCAAGCTGTGTTCATTTTTCTGTTTTAATATCACTGTACACAAGTAATGCGCTACTTCTGACTACTGGCGATTTAGAATCTGATTAGGTAAAAGTCTTGAGTAAGAGTCGATACAGGAAACATAGATATCTACATCTCCTTCATATATGTAATTACACATGTAAAAGCAAATGTCGTCAGCTTCAGCTTCATACCTGCTCATTAACGAGCTGTAGGGAGGCATGAAATTTGAGTTTCATAACATCATGTCTTAGTCACTGGAAAATATCTCATAAGAATGCTCTAATAATTTCATTTTTGTTGGTAACAAATATCTCTATTAATTTTTCAGTGCATTTTTGAGGCCTAAACTGGGGAAGCAATATGAAGCCTCTTGTGTGGTATGTAATATTCACCATTTAATGATTTCCATATTCTGTGTGGTATTTTCAACCCAAAAAAAGACATTAAATCATACAGACTGTATATATTAATTCACTCAGCAAACATTATGGAGCACTTTCTATGTGTTAGGCACAGTTCTAGATGATGGAATAGAGCAATAATCAAAAGGAATACAGAGTTTGTGTTCTTAGTGGGAGGGAGACAGGCCACTCACAAACACGTGAAATACACAGTAAGCCAGATAGTGATAAGCACTATGGAGAAAAATTGACCAAGCAAGATCAAGGAGCACTAGGGTGGGAGTTGCATTTCAGAAGTGGTGGATGAGTAAGGCTTCCCTGCTAATGTGACCCTGAGGCAGACTTGAAGGAAGGGAGGGATGAACAACTAAGAGAAGAGCAGAGGGTAACAGCAAGTCTAAGGGACTTTCACCCAGAGTCGGGGGAGGGATAGAGCAGTAGAGTTGCGAGATTAACAGAGAACCAGGTGGCAGAGGGCCTTGCAAGGCCAGGATAATAAATTAAGTCCTTAATTAATAAAATTGTGACTGTAATATAGTGAAAGTTCATAAAGTGAGTATCTATGAATTCAAACAAAGTAATATGCAATTTTGAACTTTCATGTCCTTTATGTGTTATGCAAGTCTGAAAATGGATGATATAAAATAATTATTAAAATAATGATATTAAAATGATACTAGGAGTATGCAAAGTAGGTTTACAATTGTGAGTACACACAACAGAGTTTATTCTTATTATTGTTTTATTTATTTGTATTATTTGTCATATTATTATTGTTGTTATTATTTTGTACTCTTTCTTATGATTTATCTTTTAGGTAATAAAGGCTGGTAATTTAACCTACTTTTGCCTAACCCTGTATTTATGCAAAATAGAGTGCCTTGTCCTAAGATGTTAAGTGAACCCCATATCCCTACAAATTCCCATTTCACAATTGAGAACAGAAGACAATGAAATTGCGCAGCAAATGAAATGGGATTTCTACAGACTTCATTAAAATTTGGAGTTCACATTGTATATGTTATAACCTAAAAGTGAAAATCTCCCTATTTAGATATTGCCATGAATATTTGCAAATGTCTCCATAGTTGACCTTCTAAGGGCCCTGAAATGTGTCATTTCACATTCACATTCCATGCCACAAACTAGCATGGAAGCCAACAGGAGAGTTAAACACACACACACACATACAAACACACACAATCACACTCTCAAGCAGGACTTTGTTTTGTTACATCTCCTGTTCTTCAGAGTTGTCACAGATATTTTTAATATCTAACTTTCAAATAAGAGTCTATTAATAGAAATTGTTTTTCATTGATCCAGAGCAGGGGTGTCCAACACATGGCCTGTGGGCCACACGTGGCCCAGGATGGCTATGAATGTGGCCCAACACAAAATTGTAAATATACTTAAAACATTATAAGTTTTTTGTTCTTTTAAAGTATATTTTATGGATTTTGCTATTACTATTGTCCCATTTTTTTCCTCCCCTTTATTCCCCTCCGCCCTGCACCCCTTCTACCAGTATTCTCCCCCCTCTTAGTTCATGACCATGGGTTGTACATGTAAGTTCTTTGGTTTCTTCATTTCCTATACTATTCTTAACCTTCCCCTGTCTATTTTGTACATACCATTTATGCTTCTTATTTCCTCTACCTTTTTCCCCATTCTCTCCCCATCCCTACCCTGCTGATAACCCTCCATGTGATCTCCATTTCTGTGATTCTGTTCCTGTTCTAGCTGTTTGCTTAGTTCGTTTTTGTTTTTAAGTTCAGTTATTGATTGTTGTGAGTTTGTTGTCATTTTACCGTTCATAGTTTTGATCTTTTTCATAGGTAAGTTTCTTTAACATTTCATATAATAAGGGCTTGGTGATGATGAACTACTTTAACTTGACCTTATCTGGGAAGCACTGTATCTGCCCTTCCATTCTAAATGATAGCTCTGCTGGATAGAGTCATCTTGGATGTAGGTCTTTGGCTCTCATGACTTTGAATACTTCTTTCCAGCCTCTTCTTGCCTGTAAGTTTTCTTTGGAGAAACCAGCCGATAGTCTTATGGGAACTCCTTTGTAGGGAACTCTCGCCTTTTCTCTTGCTGCTTTTAAGATTCTCTCCTTATCTTTAATCTTGGGTAATGCAATTATGATGTGCTTTGGTGTGTGCTTCCTTGGGTCCAACTTCTTTGGGACTCTCTGACCTTCCTGGACTTCCTGCAAGGTATTTCTTTTGCCAGATTAGGGAAGTTCTCCATTATTTTTTCAAATAAGTTTTCAATTTCTTGCTCTTCCTCTTCTCCCTCCGGTGCCCCTATGATTCGGATGTTGGAATGTTTAAAGTTGTCCCAGAGGTTCCTAAGCCTCTCCTTATTTTTTAAAATTCTTGTTTCTTCATTCTGTTCTGGTTAAATGTTTATTTCTTCCTTCTGCTCCAAATCGTTAGTTTGAGTCCCTGTTACCTTCCCTTCACTGTTGGTTCCCTGTATATTTTTCTTCATTTCACTTTGCATAGCCTTCACTTTTTCCTCCATTTTGTGACCATACTCAACCATTTATGTGAGCATCCTGATTACTAGTGTTTTGAACTGTGCATCTGATATATTGGCTATCTCTTCCTCATTTAGTTCTATTTTTGGAGTTTTGATCTGTTCTTTCATTTGGGTCATATTTCTTTGTATTGTGGCACCAGTTATGTTGGAAGGGGCGGAGCCTTAGGTATTTGCCTAGGCGGGGCTACCCAGGTGGCTGCATTATGACAATGCCTGTTGGGGAGGGGTCTGAGAGGGAACAGTGCTGCTTACGCAGCTCTCTGCCAGCTCACTTCCCCTGTTACCGACAAGCAAATTGGGCCCTTGTGGTGCTGATTCCCAGGTGGATGGGTTTGTGTACGCTCTAGGACCTCGTGGGTCTCTCTAGTGGACTATCCTGTGAGCCTGGGAGTTTCTCTTGCTACGACCCCCACAGATTTTTGCCTCCAGAGGTTTTAAGGCTTTCTTTTCCCGTGCTAGAACCCTGGATCGCATGGTTTGTCTCGCTCCCCTGTTGTTCCTCTCGGTTTATCCGCATGCAACTATGGGACCAACCAGTCCGCCAGCCTCCGCCTGCCTGCCTGGTCCATCAGCCACGGCCTTGCTGCCTTCTGCACTGGCTGCCTGTCTCCACCCCTCCTACCTGTCTGGGTGAATGTTTCTTTAACTCCTTGGTTGTTGGACTTCCGTGTAGTTTGATTTTCTGGAAGTTCTGGTTGCTTTTGTTTTTAACTTTGTTATTGTCCTTCTTTTGGTTATATGAGGCATCAAAGTGTATCTACCTACACCTCCATCTGGGCTGGAAGTTCTCAGATTTTTTTTGTTTTTGTTAGTGTTTGTGTATTTAATGTGTGGCCCAAGACAACTCTACTTCTTCCAGTGTGGCCCAGAGACACCAAAAGTTTGGACACCCCTGATCTTGAGTATTTTGACACTTGAAATCTCTGAGCCTTTATTAAAACATGCTTACAACTATCCTAGCTTAAAATAACTGTGACTTTTCCTTGTTCTTTGCAACAATATATCTGACATTTTTAATGTGACATGACATCAAATACCTAAGTCACATTCATGTGAGTAGATATAAAAATATAAGTATCTAAATTAAAAGTTATTTTATCTACTAAAAATTACTTGAGAGCTGAGAAATTTAAAAATATTTAGATTTGCATTGTGAGCATATCCAAAAGCCTTCTTCTTCTTCTTTTTTTTAAAGGGCTAGATCTCTGATTTCACTCCCTACCAAAACTTAGCATGCTTTTCATTATGAATTTTTTTTCTTCTTTTTTTTTTTTTGAGTCAAAAAGTAAATGGTTTCCTTTGGACAATTTCTGTATTAAACCACATCTTTTTCTTGCATATCCTAATAATTCTAATATTACAGCTCAAACATTTAGGATTTGGATTATGATCACTCTACAACACACTTACATAATTTTCTAGACCATTTGGGACATTGAGTAACCATCAGGTTCTGTTCATACAAGTCAAATACTTACTAAATTTTTTTTTGTATTTTTAGCTGCACTTTCTCCAACATATATTCTTTCCCCTTAAAAAGAAAAAAATAAACCTGGAGTAGATCAAAATTGTTATGGCATACTAAACTCTCTGAAAATATTCCTGGCCAGCATAGAAGAGTTAAACCAGCAAAGCAAAAATAGCTCTTTTTCCTGCTCCCTCTCTCTCTCTTTTTCTCTCCCTTCCTTTCTTTATTCAACAGGCATATTAAGTACCTTGATGATTCCAGGCATTTGGTAAGCAGTGTCCTGTGCCTAGTCATTCTGGGGGATGGAGTAACTCAGAGACTCCAAAATCAGATTTCTTGAAAGAGTACATCCTATTTACCACTTGGCAAACATTGACATAAATTCTGTTCCTAAAGACACTTTTACAAAAGACTTTTCACTTTGGTATGCAGTTGTGACAGCCTCTTTGAATGACTCAGCAGCATTTTATAACATTATGTGCAAAAATTTCATGAATTAAATGTGTTGCACTCTTTGTTAGAGGAAACTTATTTTGATGGCCATGATAATTATTTAATAATTCAAGCCATATACTTTTGATAAAAACCTGAACACCTGAATCTGGTCCATCCATTTGCATCTTTTAGGGTATACATTACCTTGTCATTTTTTCACCAGTCAGAATCTCCAATCCTTATTGTATATGCTGTCTTTGTTTTTCTTTTTCCTCTTTGTACGTGTAGTCCTTTGAACGAGTGTTGGTGGAAAACAAGCTGCATGGCCTCTCTCCGGCCCTCTCTGAAGCCATCCAGAGTATTTCCAGATGGGAGCTGGTGCAGGCTGCTTTGCCTCACGTCCTCCACTGCACTGCAACCCTCCTTTCAAACAGGAACAAGCTAGGTTGGTGCTCCTGTGTCACTTTGTATGGTATACGATCGTCCTTTGTGGTCAGCATTCATAATACCATTATTCGGGTCCTGTCCACATCCTATCATTTAATTCTCACTCCTCACCCCGCATTCCTACCACTATTATCTCCATATTACCAATGAGGAAACTCTTATTTTTAAATTAATTGTATAAGTAGTAGTACCTGAATATATTATCCTTCTAAATATTATGATATTATGGGAAAGCTGAAGATCCTCGCTCATCCAAGAGGGGTTCCCATCAGGGTTGTCCCCTTTGCCCTCCTGGCTCCTAAAGTGACCACTTTCACTCTGTAGTACTATGTGTATGTGCATGCAGCTACATAAAGATTGTTTTTTGTTTTTATATATTTTTAGATTTCTTTTATCACATAACAGTCTATCCTAGCAATCTACCCCATGTTAATATAATGCTCTTTTTCATCCAGTTCGTTCTCCTCTTTTGGGCCTCTGCTCAAATGTTACCTTTATAGAGAGTCCTCTCCTGGTCACGCTGCCTAAAATCAAGTAGCTACTATCTTCTCTTAACCATTATGCTGCCCATTTGGAAATATATAGTTGACCCTTGAACAACGGGTGGAGGGTTGGGGTGAGAGGGTGATTAGGTGCACACAACACCCCACACACACCCCCACCTCCACCCTTGCAACCCCCAACCCACCCCCTCAGGATGAAAATCCGCATATAACTGTTAACTCTGTAGTCTGCCCTTGCACCTGTGGATTAAACCAATCACAGATTGAAAACAGTATTTTTGGTCCTGGTTTGTTGAATCTGTGGATGCAAAACACAAGGATAAAGAAGGGTCAACTGCATTTATCAAAATAAAAAGTCCACAACTATAAATGGACTGGTAGAGTTCAAGTCCATGTCCTTTAAGGGTCAACTGTACATGGTATCTGATTGAGGAGACACATGCATGCAGCTTCTTGTCCTATGACAGTATGTCATTCTGCAGAGACTGCAGCCTGTTAGAAAGCCCCAAAACAAGAATGTGCCCATCCATCAGTTGTTGCAACAGGTATAGAGAAATGCTAGCGTCTCCCAGGAAATCGAACCACAGAACAAAACAGAGATGTTCGTTCCAGTCCCCAAATTGACATCTATTGTTCCGGCCATAGAGTTTGCCTTAACCTGGCCATGTGGTTATGTCATGCAGGCCACCAGGATAAACTGGGCGTGGCTGAGACAAAGCTCCTTCACACCCTGCACTGGATGCTCCTGGAGGCACCCCAGGACTGCAACAGTGAGCGGTTTGGGGGCACAGACCGAGGATCCAGCTGGGGTGGCAGTAGCAGCGCCTTCATCCACCAGATTGAAAACCAGGGTTCTCCAGGGCCTCCTTGCCAAAGCAGCGCCAACGATGAAGAAGAGAACAGCCGAAGGAAGATATTCCAGAACTCCATGGCTACTGTGGAGCTCTTTGTGTTTCTGTTTGCCCCTCTAGTCCACAGGATCAAGGTAAGCAGAAAGGTGGTGTTAGGCGGAGGGGGAATAGAGGTGAAGTGAGGACGAGCTATTACCCTAATCTTTACTTTGCAGTCCTCCTCTCAGTAAAAGATCAGCTGCATTTGAAACTACCATCACGCCTTCTTGAAAATTCCAGTTGCTTTGGTGACCCCGCACTCTACCGGTTCTCCTTGTTTCGTTGGAGAGCTTATCTTCTTTGGCAGCCCCTTTAACATTGAGCTTCCTCAGAGATGCACCCTGGACCCTTTGCTCTTCCCATTCTCTCTTCTCTTTGGAAGACCTCTCCAGTTTCATTTACTATTTGTGTTCCATAGGCTGAGGTCACCTAGTTCTGCATCTCTAAACTAGACTCCTCTCCTGGTCTGTAGATCAAATTGCCAGCTAGCTTCTCCAAACAGATGATCTATGGGCACTTCAGATTTCTCCTGGAATGAGCCCTTGTCCCAATGTTTTGTATTGCAGGTGATGGACCCATTTACATTAACTCAACCACTAGGAACTACCTTTGAACTCCCTCATTCTTTCCAACACATTTCACTAATCATAGACTCTTCCTCATTTTGTCTCCTAAATAGTTCTCAAATGTACCACATCTCTTTTTTTTTGGTCCCTATTTATTATATTAAACCAAGATTTTATCATCCCTTACTTGGACCTCTTTCTTGGGCCACTTTCTAAATGCATTGATAGACTTCAAGTTCATCTCCTAAAATCCAACCTCAATACCAAAATGATCTATTTCAAATGAAAATCTGGCCATATCACCAACATGCTGGAAGTAATTTGTTGATTTTTCATTATACAGTTTGACAGAGAAGGTCAAACTCTGACTTCTTAATCTGTAACTTGGCCCTCCATGACGTGCCTGGAAACTTCTGCCTATGAACTCCAAATGCTTGGAGTTCTCCCCAGAGCATAATGTGGTTTTTTCAGGCCTATTTTCTTGCTGGTCCTGCTGCCTGGAAGCCATCATGCTCCAGCCTTCTGCCTTGAAAACTCCTACTTGTCCTTGAGAGCTGCATTCAAAATCCATGCTCCCATCCCCTACATTTTTATAATATTCTAGATATATCTTTATTGTTATTTTCAGTTTTTCCTTATCTCTTTATGTGTCTGTTTCTCCCACTAAATTCTGATTAGTTTGAAGGTAAGAATTATCATTGTGTTCTGGATAACTCACCTAATATCTGTGTTTCATAAGTATTTAATTTGTTTATTGAGTTAATTAATTCACTGAGAAGCAAATAAATCTATATAAGTGACTCATCCTTCTATAAGACAGTGTATAATTTAATGTATGCTTTTATGACTTAAATTTATAACTAGCTCAGGTATTGCACATGAAATAATAACCTGAAAATTCTGTCAAATATATTATTCACCTTAGACTAAATTTAATTTTATCAATGAAAAATTAATATTATTATACCTAAGGGATGTACTTTAAATGTGATATTAATATTTTCTTGATTTGATTATATTCCCTTATTTCTTCAATAAATATTTATTGAATGCCTACTATATGCTAGGCACCCTTCAGAGTCCTGGGGAAATAGCAGGGAATAAAATAAAACCTCAGCTGTCAAGGAGATTTTTATAAAATCCATATGTGTGAAGTAAGCAATTTTAAAGTGGAATTTAAAATGCTAATTGTTCAAGTAGATGTCTCTAAGCTACTGGTAAGCACATTTAGAGCTGCTTCATACCATCACAAAAACGTGCTTTCAGCACAAGCAAGAAAGCATCTGAAGTGCGGGGATGTTGGCTCTGCCAACGTGCACACCCTCTGGTTTTTCTCCTGCAGACCACTTGCCCTGTAGCTGTTTAGCTCTTTGAGTGATAAAGAGTACCTTCTCCAGCTAGGATTATCTTGTCATTTCTGTTTGCCCAGCATTGGGCGACTCATCAAAGAGGACTCTAGAAGAGGAATTAGGGTCCCAGAGTTTATGGATTCAGCCAATTTAAGAGGGCTTACAAAGGAAAATAAGAGAAAGCCATGGTTTCTGCAGGTTTTAGTTCTGAAGACTGATTGGATTTACTGGTGTTATTTGGGGAAGGTAAAATTAATCAAATAAATATGATGCTCCAGGAGAAATGCACAATAGAAGGAGATCTCAACTTGTCTTCAAGAGATATACAGTCTAGTTGGGAGTATATAAAATAGAACAAAATGACGACAGCAACCATCAGTGGGTGCTAAGTGTCACCAGTTAAAGGCCAGGGTTTCAGAATAAGAGCTCACTTACTGCAGCAGTGTCCATCGAAGTTTTATCTGTGTCAAGATCACTTATGAGAAACATGGAAAAGGACTGAGCTCAGAAACTAAGAAATCACCAAAACCTGATCAATTGAGAGTCAGTGTCCTGCATTTCTGCAGACAAATCTGATAAGCTTTGCCTGCTATTAATTCCCTGCTTGCTGGATCTAATACCACACGTAATGTTAGGCAGCCTTCCGCATGTCATTTCAAGGGAAGTGAGGTTACTCTCCCTTTAAGGCCAGACCTTCCTGTCTAGCTGTTTACTCAGAATCTCTACTTGAATGCCTAACCGGCGCACCAAATCCAGTGTGTCTAAAGCGAGGCTCCTGATATCCCCAGACTGCTCCTCCTTTATCTTGTCCATCTTTATCAGTGACAAAGCCAAAAATCTTTCACACCTTTTTCTCTTATACTCCACTTCTGGTCAGTAAGCTTTATCCTCAAAATGTGTCCATAATCTACCCCTTCTCATTTTAACCTCTACTGACATCCTAGTCTAATCATCCTTCCCCCAGGTGATACTGTAGCTTCCCAAATAGTCTCTCTTTCCATCTGTGCCCTTAATTCTCAATAGTCTGTGTGATCCTATCAAAACTTATATCCAATCACATCATTCCACTACTCAAAGCCCTCCAGTGGCTTCCTGTCCTACTCCATCATTGCCAAAGGCCTCAGTATGGCCTATCAGACCCTGTATTATTTGCGACTCAGTAACTTCTCTGACCATATGTTTTTCTACTGTTCTTTCTTTCACTCCTGGCTATTTCTTGACACATGAGAAATGTGCTTAGAGCCTTGCATTTGCTGATCCCTTTTCACATAAAGATTTTTTTTGGAAATATCTACATGGTATCTCCTTCATTTCCTTCAGATCCTTTCTCAAACGTTACTGTTACAATAACGCCTTCCTTGGCCATCCTGTCTAAAATAGAAATACTTGGTCTGATATACCTCTTTACCTGCTTGATTCTCCTTTGCACTAAGAGAGCAGGGATTTTTCAAAATTTTCATTGAATGTATTGGGGTGACATTGGTTAATAAGATTACATAGATTTCAGATGTACAATTCTATAACACATCATCTGTATATTTCATGTGTTCACCACCCCAAGCCAAGGCTCCTTCCGGATCAGGGATTTTGTATATTTTGTTCACTAATGTGTCCCAGAATCTATAATGGTACCAAGTACAGAGTAAGTGGTTTTACATACTTGTAGAATGAATGTATTTCCACAGGGAGTCCTAGAAGCTTTCCTGTGGTGAGCCCCACAGTGGTGCCCACGTCCCAATGGATAGCCCATATGCAGATTTATTCAGGGATTTCCCCAGCTTTTCCAGTTGAAGCTTCCTTTGACGCTGAGCTACACCAATTCACCATTTGCAGAATCACTTTACTTCTTTTTTTCCAGTTTCTTCCTAGCTACTATATTTTTAGATCAGTGGTTTCCAGTGGATCACATGGCTACATGAGAGAGTCACCAGAGGGAACTTTAGAAAAGCTCAGGGACTCTAATTTAATTGGTCTGGGTAGGGGAGGAAGTGAGGCCTGGGCCTCCTATGTTTTAAAAGCTCCCCAGGCGATTATAATATGCAAGCTGGGATTGCAATCACTGCCATAAGTGAATGCCTGAGTCTAAGCTGTGTTCATTAAACTCCCACCCCATTCTCTGTTCCTGGCTCTGCATAGTTTTGAGAGGCTGAGTTGTTTAACATGTAATCTAAGAATGTCATATATTTGTACTTACGCACTATGGGAGTGCATCTTAAACATAGTCTCTCAAAATGATGTAATGATGAAACACAAAACGTGCTCCCTGCAAGAGACCTAAAATTGTAGATAAATTGAATAAGTTTGGGTTGTAAAGTCAGTGCAACTCAGCAAGTATTGTGCAACCAATTCCTAATGCTGTCTTAAGCATTATGATTATGATAGGCGCTGTGGGGGAGGGAAGATGCCTGATATATCCCTACCTTCAAGGCGTTGAAGACTGTTGAAAGGGCAGCATTACAAAATAATATACTAGGAAGTGTCTAAATATGTGTTCCTGATCCCACAAGAACAAGAGATGGATTGGAGAATAGAAAGTCAAATAACCAGCATCTGAGGATACTGGCTTTTGAGGAAGAAAGAAAGACAATTAATTAAGAGGAGTAATAATGATTACCGCAATGAAAGAGATCTGCTAGGACTTAAATAAATAAACAGGCCTCTATCACTGCTGACACAAAACAATAAATTCTGTGTTTTGTGCTTTGCCCAGAGCTGAATTTTAATTAAATATTAATTTTGCCTCAAGCAGACCACCGTGATTTCCACAGTAACTGTGACAATAACCTAGGACTTTTGGTTCACCCTGGGAACACTCATTTGTGTGATGAAAGAATATCTGGAAGGTCAACCTATTTTGGAAATAACCTCATGACTGATGTTAATCCTTGCATTGACTGGTCCTTTCAACCAGTTCTTAGAGGCCACTTTGTGACCTAGGTCTTCTCTTCCCCCAGGAATCTGACCTCACGTTCCGACTGGCCAGCGGGCTTGTTATATGGCAGCCCATGTGGGAGCACAGACAGCCCGAAGTCTCTGGCTTCACAGCGTTGGTGAAGCCCATCAGGAACATCATCACAGGTTCGTAACTCAGACACCCGCTGGGATGGCTTACCAGACTCCCTTACATGTGGGAAGGAGGGTGACGGGGGAATTTGCCCTTAAAGAGGCCAAGAGGAAGAAAATTTCTCCAGGGAGTTATCTAGGTGTTCCCTGCTCAAGAGTCACTCACATGATGAGCATCTCTAAACCAAGGGCACATGCTCTTCTGTTGTGTGACTTTGAATAAGTCATTTAAACTTCTTGTGTGACTTAACACAACCTTGCAGGGACATAATTGTTAAGGAATTTTGTAAACTAGGAGTGCCATCTGATTCATATATGAGATAAAATGTTTATAGTGGCATATGCTTTCTATAGTTATTCAAAAGTAAGATGAAATTTTTCATATAGTAGAAGTAGAATAACCCTACAACCTACATGTATAAAATACATTAACCATGGAAATAAATGATAAAATCAAGAGTAAACCTTGGTGGTTTAAACATCAAGGAACCAAATAAGTAAAGATGTCATAGCTAGAGTGATCTACTTCAGATTCTATGGATGGAATGAAGTTAATTTCATTCAATTAAAACAATCCGAGAGTAAAGACAGACGTATGAGATTAGAAAACTGAAAACAGTGTAAATAAGACATAAGAAAAATAAAATACACTATAGTAAAATAAAACAATTACTGAAAAGCCATATCTTTATGTTTATTAAAGAAAAACATTTTTCATTTATTTTAAGACCTATCTTTTATATAAATGTAGATGTTTCTTCAAATTTAGGTTCTCTCTTTCCCTCTCCTTTATCTCAATCTCTCAATCTCCTCCCTTCCTCCCTCCCTCCCTCTCTCCTTCCCTCCCTCATCCTTTTCCTCCCTTTCCTTCTCTCCTCATCCCTAAACTATCATTTAACACGTGTGCAAAAACTATTAAGAATTCATGCCCAGGTGAACAGTACCTTTACCCTCCCTCTGCTTCTGAATAATATCCACAGTGAGCTCCTTTCCCCTCTTCCTGACCCCTGTGCCCTTAATCTCAGGGGAAATTAAACTCAGCTCAGACAACATGGCCAGAAGAAAAAGCAATGCCACGTGGCTGGCAATCCCCTTGGTCTCGTGCTTTGTACAGTTGGTAAATTACCTTCCTCTCAGCATCAGATTACTCACAATTCACATGGGACACTGGCATCTTTGCTTCCCATTGTTCTCCATCACGAGGTAAAGATGTAACTGGTCTGAATCTTCCTTCAGGGGCAGCTTATTGTGGTCATTAGAGCACAGACCTGGGAGCTGGATAACCTGGGCTGGAAACTTATACAAGGTCAAGTGACCCTAGGCAAGTTACACTTGCTGTGCCCTATGTCTTCATCTGTAAAATGGGTCTAAAAATATACTATAGGTTATAATAAGGTTACTTTAAGGGCTAAATAAGTTGATGTGTAACACGTATAGAAGGCTTGGCAGACATTAAGTACCGTGTAGATGTTAACTCTTACTGTTTTTAGTATTGCCAACTTTTTAGCACTTAACCTAATGAGTCAGACTAAATAGATGAAGAGATCTAGATTAAAAATTTAGAAATGCTAAGATTTTTTAATTGGCTCTGTGATTTCTCTTACAACATCTGTTATTAAATGTCTTCTTTTTAAAGTGATAATGAATAAGTGTTAGAATAAGTTTTTATATTTGAAAATAAAATGAACTTATGAAATAAAATGAACTACAACATTTGTGATAGCATTTCTTCCATTTTTGCAGCTAAGAGAAGCTCTCCTGTTAACAGTCAGAGTCAGACCTGTGAATCACCAAATCAGGACACAAGACATGGAGAGGTGAGTTTATTTTAACCATGAGAGGAAAGGGGGCAGCCGTTCCTTGGGTGCGGTGTAGTGTGAAGGGTAAGACGAGTTCTGTAGTGGTACAACTTGGCTTCAGTGCTGGCTCCTCCTCTCTGAATATGAAACTTTAAACAGCCTCGGGCTTTCTATCTGTCAATGTGGAAAATAATTTTATGTACTTCCCCAAAGTGTGGGTGAGGGTGCTGAAAAAAGACTGTATACCAAACAAGATTTGGTTTATTCCAATGGCTAGTGTATAGTAAGTATTGCTTTATCTCAATGGCTAGCATGTAACTTTAAATGTTAGTTATCATTATTCATCCCATGTTAACTAAAATAGCATCTTGTTCTCAGTCAGTTATTGAGTCCCCTATTTGTTAGGCAACTTGAATGTAGGTAAAATCGTGCTTTAGCAGGTAGGGAGGAGGGAATAGAAAATAGTCATAAGATATAGTCCTACTCTTAAGGAATCTAAAAGTTTAATGAGAAATCAAGACTAATGCACATAAAACAGAAGATGTATAATGAAACAGAATATAATTCAAAGCAAATTTGTCATCACTCTTTGGTGTGTAAAAGAAAGAAATGAAGGCAAAAGTAGTTCACAGCTTCCTCCACAAACTTAGCTTGTATTCATATGAGCTGCCTTCACTTCCAATTCAACATGCATAAAGTAAAATTTGCTGGCTTTCATCAAAACTGGATCCCCTTTTCAAGTGATGGAGTATTACTGTTAGGAGTATCATCATCTTTTATACCCTCCGAACTGGAAGTTTTCAAGTCCTATTATATCCACTATTTACTGAGTAATTGCTAAATACAGACTCTGTGATTTAGATGCTATATTTTATCTCTTCGAAGATGTGTGTCTCTCACTTTTAACATCTTTGCAATTGAGTGTAGTTGATGCTTTTTAGCTTCTTACAATCTCCCTGCCTGGTAGGAGTCTTGATATAGTTTTCCTTGTTGTGGAGCATGACTTCAGTCATTTCCAGAACTGAATTTGAAGAACCAGGATTAGTGGCCTTAGAAGAATATGTCAGAGGGAATAATGAAGCACTATTTTACAAGATAACACTCTTCACATAGAAAAAGTCATTCTGTGGAAAACCATGTATCAACCACTCTGAGCTGAAATTTCTAAATGTATTATGAATACCTACCCAATTTATTGCACTAATATTTTCCTTTTGACATAAACACAGGATGGGTATATAATCAAAACCTATTCCTACATATGTCTGAGATAGACCCTTTAATAAGTATAAAATAAAAAGTCCTCACTGATAAGAAGTTTCCTGATTTCTTTCTCTTTTTTAAATAAAATCTTTGTTTTACTGTGGTTTATGCTGTTATAGTTGTCACAATGTTTTCCTCCTGCACCCCCTCCCCCTCGTCCATCCTCCACTTCCATAGTCAATTCCCGCACCGTTGTCTATGTCCATGGGTCCTCCATATGTGTTCTTTGACTAGTCCTTCGCCTTCTTTCAATCAGTCCCCACGTCCCTCCTTCCGTCTTACAGCTGTCAGTCTGTTCCAGGTATCCATGCTTCTGGTTCTATTTTGCTCATTAGTTTATTTTGTTCCTTATATGCAATCATATGGTATTTATCTTTCGCCAACTGGCTTATTTCACTGTTTTTTTCTTAATCGAACATAAAATAATGGTGTATCATAACTGATCACATCTTAGACACAATGAAATACATAAATATCATATTTCATTCTCTTTAATTCTCTTTATTTGATTTTGTTGCTGAGAAACCATATGCGTATTTTGTTTTCTTTTTTGTTATGTAGCTCAGTTGTGCTCTTTAGACTCTGTGCCTGCTTTTACCCTCTAAATAAAGGTCCTTATAACCAGATCGCAGCTTGAGCTACCTGATTGAATTTTCTGCCTCTAGCCTCTCCTGCTTCACATACATATCAGTTAAGCATGCCTGACTAATCTCCCTAATGCATCGTTCATTAACTCATCATCCCACAGAGGCTTATTATTGATACATGCAAGGTGCCATCCTTTCATCATACCCCTTCTGTCTTAAACGCCTATAGTGGATCCATCACCTCAAGACTGAACTCCTCTGCCTGGTTCTCTGTGCCTTGTACCACCCAGAATCACCTTTCTTAAGTGGCCTGGATTACTCTTTCCATTAGTTAAGCACTGTGTCCAATAAACAGAGCATGCAGTTTTTGCCTCTGAGTCTTTACTCAGAATAAAGGTCAATTGGAAAAAAATATATTGCATCCCTACTCTGATATGTGATGAAAAAACCTGAACCTTGCACTCCATTTTCATATCTGGCATATATTTGATTAGCTCTTACTAACCTGTTGCTTGGTTTCAGCCTCATGACTCTGACTCTATTTGGTCCACCTCAGTATTGACATATCTTTGATGAGTTGTTGATTTGTCATACTCCTCCCATGGGTACTGGATATGGAGATGAAAAGGAACTGAATCCAGGGAAAAATGAAATAAAGTATGTGAAAGTCCTTAGCCTGGTGTTTAAGATGACATTGGTGCCCTCTCAAAGTCTGTCTCCACTCTATCAGTTAAAGGCAAAATTCCTTGGTTTGTGACATTACAATTAGCTATGCTGCAATTTTTTATTTTAAAGAACGATGTATGTAATATGATAGCTGGTTCTAGAGGGTGTACTTGAAAAGAAAAAAATTAATCCGCTGTCTCCACCTCCAAAAGGGACTCCAGGTGGTCTGTGAGACGCTCCAGTCAGATTCCATCTCCCCCAAGACCACCATTTCAGGCTATCACCGGGGCAACTCCTTCGATGGAAGTCTGTCCTCCCAGACTTCCCAGGAAAGAGGTCCATCACATTCCAGGTACATGATGTTAAGGACAAAAATGTATCTCCAGTCACCAAAAACGAAAAATGCATTTTTAGCATCTCGTACGGCCTCTGTTCTTTAGCATGCGTATGTGCATGATGTATATCTATATTCTTGGTCAAGGTATAATCCCATTTATAATTCCAGAAGAATGTTATGAATGGCTCTCATTTAAACAAACTGGAGTGGAGGTGGGAGGACATGTCTGATTTAATGAGATGTCTGAGTTAGGTAATATTTTAAACATTTAAACACAGAAACTCAAAGGATCTTGTCTATCAAAAGATTATGTTGTGGGGATATGAAAGGATCTGCTTTAATGTATAATGAAAATGCTTTATACCAGGAGATCATTGTATTAAAGTGGATGTCTCTAAAGTACACACAGGGAATTGAAAAGTGTGTCCTTCGTAAACATTTCATTTCTGCCCCTTGTTAGCATGTGGACACGGTGCATGTGGTTACAAATGCTGAAATGAGGGCAGCCTGGACTCATGAGGCTTGCCCTTTGCACTCAGCTGGAAGATCTACCCACGGTGGGGGGAGAAACTCTGAGACCATTTGTACACCCTATTTTCAAATGAGGCTATGCTCTAGTGGGTATTATTTTAAAAGGAAGTATTTTTAAAATAGTTTCATTGAGGTATAATTTATATACTATAATATTTACCCATTTAAGCGTACAATTTAATGATTTTTAGCAAGTTTCCAGAATTGTGCAGCTTTCACAGTGATCCACTTTTAGAACATTTCTACCATCTAAAATGTCCCTTGTGCCCATGTTCAGTCACTCCCATCCCCACACCCTACTCCAGATGATTACTTAATATACTTTCTGTCTCTCTATAATTACATTTCTGGACATTTCAGATAAACTGAATCATACTCTGTATGGTCTTTTGTGTCTGGCTTCCTTCATGTAGCATAATATTTTATTTTAGTTTTTTAAAAGTTGATCTTTATTATATTTTTTCCATTACCATTTAATCCCCTGATATCCCCCTCTCCAGAGATCACCATGTTATTGTCCATGTCCCTGAGTCCTTCTTCCTTTTTGTTCAGTCCCTCCACCCTCTAACCTCCCCACCCCACTAGCTGTCATCTGCTCCCTATGAGTCTGTCTCTGTTTTGCTTGTTAGTTCAGTTTGTTCATTAGATGCCACATATGAGTGAAATCATATAGCAAAATATTTTAGAGGTTGATCCACATCATAGCATGTACAAGTAGTTCATTCCTTTTTATTCCTGAATAGTATTCCTTTTTAATGGATATATCACATTTCATTTATCCATTCATCAGTTGGTAGGTATTTAGGTTGTGTTGACTTCTTGCCTATTTTGAATAATGCTTCTATGACCATTAACGTACAAGTTTTTGGATGGCCATATGTTTTCAGTTCTGTTGGAGAGATCCTAGGAATTTCAGTATTTCAGTTCTGCTGGGTTGTATGGTAAATTTATGTTTAATTTTTAAAGAAACTGCCAGCTTTCTAAAATGGCTGCACCATTTTATATTCCCATGAAAAATGAATGAGTTCATCTTTTCTATCTTTGGCAGCCACTCTACTGAGTTTGAAGTATGAATTGATTATGGTTTTAATTTATATTTCCCTAGTGACTAATAGTATTAAGTATATTTTATGTGCTTCGTAGCTGAGTGTCTATAGTGAAATGTCTGTTCAGATCTTCTACCTAAATTTTAACTGGGTTTTTTGTCTTATTGAATATAAGCCTTCTTATATTTTGGGGATAAAAGTACTTTATCAAAAAAAGATGATCCACAAATTACTTCCTTACAATATTAGGTTGTGTTTTCATTTGGTAATTTTTAATGACCTACCCTCTTCTGTCACCAAACCAGGCTACATGTGTGTAGTATTTTTTAAAGATTTCTTAGAATTGTTGAAAGCATAGAGCCATATGAATATAATTGCTTTTTAACCAAAATACTACTATGTAGTACTTTTCAAAAATAACATGTAAATAGTTGTTGATCTTTGTGTCTTCATTTTGAACTTTAAAAGCAAGTGAGCCAGTTGAATGATCTTTTGCCGGTTAAGAATATGAATTTTTGACAACTTCAGTTGTGTAACCAGATTGCTTGTGCTTATTCACATGGTTTACTGTACCAGATCAATGGTGCAGATGAGTACTTAAAATCATTTTTAATGTGGAAGGAACCCATGAGGACAACCAATCCAATCTGATGCACTAACAACATTTTAACCACTTACACACTTTCAGCAATGAGGAATTTAGTATTTTCTGATGAAGCTCATATCATTTTTTGATGGCTGTATTTAGTGGAATATCCTTCTTATATTTGACCAAAAGTTGCTTTTCTGTAGCTTCTGTCTATTGTTCCTGTATTAGTTTTCTACTGCTGCGTAATAAATTACAACAACTTACTGGCTTAAAACAACACACACTTATTATTTCACAACTTCTGTATGCCAGGAATCCAGGTGCAATGCAGCTGAGTTCTCTGCTTCAGGGTCTTATCAGCTTGAAATCCTGGTGTCGGGATGGGCTTCAGTCTCATCATAAGCTTGAGTGTGGAAGATCTATTTGCAAGCCCCCTCAGGCTATTGGCAGAATCCATCTCCTTGTGGTTGCAGTATTGAGGGCCCTGTTTTCTTGCTGGCTAATGTGCAAGGGTTGCTCTCAGTTCCTACAGGGCACCCACAGTTCATTGCCGTGTGGCTCTCTTCATAAGCCAACTCACAATATGACCCCTTATTCTTCAAAAGCAGCAAGCGAGAGAAATTCTATCTAATTTCAGTCTGCTAATGCAGAATCTTTATACTGTTATATAATCACAGGAGTGACATCTTACCACCTTTGTCATATAAAATTACCTAATTATAAGACTGGCATTATGCCACCTTTGCCACATTTTACTTATTTTAAGAAAGTCACAGGTCCTATGCTCACTCAAAAGAGGATTTTATAAAGGATGTGACCACAGCCAGACGGGACTCAGGGGTCTACCACAAGTGTGTCCACCAAAGTCTTCTTGAAGACGTACAGACTTTTCCCATAGTATTAAAGTTTTCCACTTATTCAGAAATAGCTGTCATGCTGACCCCTCCCCATACACGGACACCAAAGCTCCCATTTTATTTTATGACAATAATAACTTACTGACAAAGACATAATTCAACCAGGTTTGGGGGCGAGGTAGTTACTTTGGGCACAGGCTAGAGAGATAACAATAAGATCTACCTTTTACTGGACATTTTTAATGTGTCAAAAACAGAACTACATCTTTATAGTTACAGTATTATCTAAATTTTAATTTATTTGCTCATTTCTATATCTTTTAAGTTTCTTCTAGACACTGGCGTTGCAGCAGTGTCAAAATTCTTGTCCTCAAAGAGCACATTTTCTAGAAGGGTAGATAGATTAAAATGGAGCAGTCAAATGAATAAAATTATATTCAGGTTACTCTTAGACTCTGAAGGTAAAAAACAAAGCAATGGGATGGAAGGTGGGCTCTCTTTCAGAGAACTGAATAATATGAAGGAGGCAGCCTCAGGGAGATCTCAGGAGGATCAGGATGAGCATTCTGAACAGAGGGAACACCAAGTCTAAAGGCTCCAAAGTGGAAATAAAACCCAGTGTGTTTGGGAACAGCAAGAAGGCTACTGTGACCAGAGAGGGGTGAGCAAGGGGGTAGGTTGTAGGGAATCAGAGATGTTGTGAAGGATCAGGTCATGCAGGACCTGAGAGGATGTGGTAAGAAGTTTGGATATCATTTCACATGTGATGAGAAGCCACTAGAGTTGTCTGAGCAATGGAGTGCCATTAACTGAATTACACTTTTTAAACACTCCAGATGATTTATGGGAAATAGTATCAGGAAGCAAAAGTGGATTCAGAGACTAGTTAGGAGACTAATGATCCAGGTGAGAGAGGCTGTGACTTGGTTAGAGTGGTGGTAGTACGGGTGGAAAAGCTGAGATGAGGTTGGAATTGGGGTACATTTGAGGGGTAGAGCTGGCATGACTGGCTGTGCGGAGTGAGCAAAAGAAAGGAATCAAGCAGTAACGCAGGTTTTTGCCTTGAGTCACTGGGTGAATGGTGATTAAATTTATGAGATAATAAAGGCAGAGAAGAACCATATAGAAAAATATTCTGGATGTGCCTGCCTCCACCCGTCCCTCAGACCATCTCCATCAGTCAAGCCACTCATCGCCTCCTGCCTGTGGTGCTGCAAGAGCCCACTTATTAGTCACCTCTCATTCGCTGTCACCACCACCCAACAGAGAACATACATACTCGTGGAGAATATTAGTCCTGCTACTCCTACATTTTCACTCTTAATGATTGTTCCTTGCTATCAAAGTAAAATTTAAAATCCTTGATATGCCCTTCTAGGCCCACCTCATCTGGCTGCCACCTAGTTCTCTAGTCTAATGTTGTGCCTCTCCCCACAGCCCAGTCACTAAACCCCAACCTTTTGGGAGATCTTCATGTGCTGTAAACTTCTCCTTAGCTCTGCGATTTGGAGTATGTTAATCCATCTGCCTGAATCATTCTTCCATTTATCTTCACTTAAGCAACGCCTTATGCTTCAAGGCTCAATTTAAATATCATTTCCTTACTCCCTAGAGAAGTTTTGACAGGTCAACCAGGTTAAACACTGTCACAGAACTTCTTGTTCTCTCTCATGACATACATGGCAATCATAATTTAAATACTTATGTGATTATTTGTCTAATAGCTATCTTTTTCTCTATACTGTAAAATCCAAAGAAGAGGGATCAGTTCTTTTTAACTCTCCTCTATCTCTAGTGCTTGACACATGGCCTTTAATGAAAGGTATTGAATAAGTAAATGAGTTTAATTTTCACAACAGCCTGCAAAGAAGACATTATTCCTTCTTTAAAGATGGGGAATTGAGCCCTGGCCAGGTGGCTCAGCTGGTTGGAGCATCATCCTGTGCACCAAAAAGTTGTGAGTTTGATTTCTAGTCAGGGCACGTACCTAGG